TTTTGGTTTCCTTGGTAGCCTTTACCTCTGCATTTCTTTGGATCCCACAATGGGCTGGAAGCCACTGCTGGACTTGTTCTGGTTTTGTGGACAGAATGCTGATGTTTTTATTTTATCTTATTTATTTTTATGTGATGATGTTCTGTTTGAAGAATAAGATGACTTGGACAGCTGGTTCTGAGTCTGTACATATGAGTAGGTTTTATTTCGTTAAACTGGACCACTGGGAGTGGACACAGTTGAAAGCATGCTTGTGCCTCTTCTCTGTAGTCGAGGTAAGCTGTCAATGCCGCTGTTGAGTGTGTATTGCGATTTAGTTATGTATGCTCATTGACCCACTTATTTAGCAAAACCATATGTAGACACACGTAAGACTCAGCTACTGTTTGATACTTGTCAGCATTACATGTTCTCTGTTCACTCTGAATGTAAGGCGCTGTAAACTATACAATTGACATCCCATAGAGTGCCAACGATTTCGGGAGGAGGGGGAGCATTAGGAGTGGACACTAGTCTTTCTTATCCTCAGATGAGGATATACAACTTGAAAACAATCTTGTAGCAGGGCTGGCCAGGCCCATAGGTTTGGGTGGCAGTTAGTATGGTAAGAGAGCTCCGAAAAGGGGGAGATAGGGCACTGTTCTTCTGTTCCGGCAGTTTTTGCAGCATGCTTTGTTCCAGACGTACTAGTGATACCTTTCATTTGAGGTAAACAAGGCAAGCCGAGTAGCGAGGGTACAAGCTGCATGGGGAACACGTGGTCTCTAAAATAAAGCTAAAATGTGTGCCATGGAGTCTAGGAACTTTATACTTGGCCTCAATTGGCTGTGATTGACATCTCTCTCTCTCTCTCTTTCTCTCTCTCTCTCTCTCTCTCTCTCTCTCTCTCTCTCTGTGTGTGTGTGTGTGTGTGTGTGTGTGTGTGTGTCTGCCTGTCTCTTTCTATTACATTATTGTTTAAAAAGACGAATATGTGTCATTAAAAGGTCAGAGATGCCGAGACTGACCAGTTCTCTATTTTCTCCACTAACTATTGAAACTGACAGCAGACTGTCTAGGTATTTGTAGTGGTGGTCTAAACAGCAAAATCATTGACAGGCTGGCATTATGGCATCGGTTCTGCATAGATCTTGCACATGTAAGCTGTCAGAGACTTGCTAATAACAACATTTAGCGATGTCAATTATGAACACCAGGACACTTGTGGGCACTTGTACACTGCTCTGAAAGACTAAACTTGTGGGCACTTGTACACTGCTCTGAAAGACTAAACTTGTGGGCACTTGTACACTGCTCTGAAAGACTAAACTTGTGGGCACTTGTACACTGCTCTGAAAGACTAAACTTGTGGGCACTTGTACACTGCTCTGAAAGACTAAACTTGTGGGCACTTGTACACTGCTCTGAAAGACTAAACTTGTGGGCACTTGTACACTGCTCTGAAAGACTAAACTTGTGGGCACTTGTACACTGCTCTGAAAGACTAAACTTGTGGGCACTTGTACACTGCTCTGAAAGACTAAACTTGTGGGCACTTGTACACTGCTCTGAAAGACTAAACTTGTGGGCACTTGTACACTGCTCTGAAAGACTAAACTTGTGGGCACTTGTACACTGCTCTGAAAGACTAAACTTGTGGGCACTTGTACACTGCTCTGAAAGACTAAACTTGTGGGCACTTGTACACTGCTCTGAAAGACTAAACTTGTGGGCACTTGTACACTGCTCTGAAAGACTAAACTTGTGGGCACTTGTACACTGCTCTGAAAGACTAAACTTGTGGGCACTTGTACACTGCTCTGAAAGACTAAACTTGTGGGCACTTGTACACTGCTCTGAAAGACTAAACTTGTGGGCACTTGTACACTGCTCTGAAAGACTAAACTTGTGGGCACTTGTACACTGCTCTGAAAGACTAAACTTGTGGGTACTTGTACACTGCTCTGAAAGACTAACTTTTTCCATTTTACTGACTTGCTGTAGACGCTGTCATTCTAAATGCCATCCAATCGTTGGTACAGATAGCCTAAGCGCCTCCACATTTTATCGAGGAAGCTACAGCCCCTCTGGACCGTCGCAGCGCCCCCTAGGCGCGATGGCATCCACTTGGGTAAACATTGCTTTAGGAGAATATAACTATGTTCTTATATGTAATAGAACATGCCGGGTATGATAACTCAGTCATTACACACTGACATATGAGTCTACGCGAAACAGAAATCATACTGTTGAGACATTTGGGGCGCAACAGGCTGTTAGTTTCTAGCACCCAACCTGATAATATTGCACGAGCCATCGTTATTCTCCAGAACATTTGATTGTACCAGTTTAGCTGAGTCTTTGAAGGTGCAGATGGCTAGGCCACATTCGGAGTATGAAGGCTGGTAGAAGCCTTGAGGTCGACCTTGTGAATAAATTGCAGAAAAGCAGAAGATGCCTGAGTCGGTCTCTGCCACAATTTACAGATACCTGTAAACGTGACGTACTATAGACTGTGCGGGCTGTCCCGCACCCCCCACCCCTCCCCCTCCCTTTTTCCATCCCTACACCACCTCTCACTTCCTCATGTTTCATGTGTCCCTGAATGACAGTAATAAAATATAAGAATTAAATAAAACAACGTAAAATACCTTAAATATTATTTTTTTCGGGAATAGTGAGAACGAAAATTAGAATGAAGAAAGAAAGAAAGAAAACAGAAGCCATTAGCTAGGAATATACTCCGTTCGACGAGATAAAATATCACGCGCCAGGCAGGCAGTTTTTCCGCACACATGTAACACATCCGGGTACTTTCGCCGTGCTATTTTTAGCGCAGGACAGAATTTAGCTAAGGAGTGTTCGCATACCGTCTTAACCCCGCCACCACCTCGAGGTTGTTACTTCCCAGCCGTAACTGTCTGGGTCACAGCGAGTCGAGACAGGAAGTAGCAAGGGAGTTAAAATGTAGCAAGAAAATTTGTGTAAAAGTAGTTTTACAGTAGCCTCATTCGCAGAAGGGAGCACTGGTGCAATGGCGGCCATTAACTCCAGCGTGGTTGCACGTTAAATATCTTCATCTTACCCAGTCTCCTTTTCTGTAAAGCTATACCAGCTCAAAATGTTGAATCATGCGTATGAATTTGTATTTTTGTCATTTCCATGTTTGCAGTTTGTAATCGCACTCTCCGTGGAATGTTTTTACCATAGTAAACTTTCCTTTATTGGTTTTTATCTGTCATTCTTATTTAATTTTCTTCCCTTCTTTGTTGTTTCGTTGTGCCATTTTCGTCTTTCCTGTCTTTCATTTGTTTGCTGCATTCTTTTCGGCCCTTTTTTCCCCCACCACATCTCGGGGAGATTTCCTAGGGAATTCCATGTAAAGTCCAATAGTATAGGAGTGTTAGGGTATTAAATAAACACCAACTAACCCAAACACCCTTTCCCCTATAATATTGAACTTTCCCAGAAATTCCATATAAAATCTCGGAGTCCCGGAGATGCGAAATAAAATAAAAGAACCGTCTCCTCTTAATTTATCCATGTTTTTATATTTTATGTAGTTTTCTTTCGTTGCGCTCTTTTTTCAGTACAAATCATTTCGTCTCTCTCTTTCTCTCTCTCTCTCTCTCTCTCTCTCTCTCTCTCTCTCTATTTCTCTCTCTCTCTCTCTCTCTCTCTGATATACTGTTTTATGATTAGGCCAAGGAAGTTAACAGATGGAATAAAGATGTTGGTAGTGAAATGATTCCACCAAACATGTCTACAGAAAGTTGCGGTGTCCCCTGTGATCTAACAGCTGGTACCTTACATGTTCTATTGACCCCACCACTCAACATTCGTGTACGATACACCATTGTTGGTGTTCCAAGTTGCAAATAGGTGCTGCCAGTGCAGACCGATTTCATCTTCTTTAATATGCAAAACTTCGATATCAGAACTCAATTCTGGATGTTAGATTCCCCCCCCCCCCCCCCCAAAAAAAAAAAAATCTCTGTCCTTATCCATCTCAAAATTACTCTCGGCTTTTCCTATCTTTCACCCTTGCCATTTCCTTCGGACGTCCTCGTCACCCCCTCCCCCACAACATATGTGTTTCCCATTTCATTGCCTGTTTAGCAAATTCTCTGCTGCTTCTCGCTATAATGCGCCCAATATAGTGCCATCTTCTTTGTCTAATAACTATTAAAGCAAACGGTCGTCCATATGTTTTTTCTAGTACCCTCCATCAAGTTTAACAAGAAAAGTACAAATGAAGGAGCCTATTTGCACGGACAAATCAGAACTTGATGGGCCATGTGTTCAAAAGCAGTCTGCCCGTCTATATATCCCATGATGCTTTCCCAGTACCCATTTTAGGTTGGGTTTATCAGAGCCTTTTTAATTACGTTTCGATAAAAAGGAACCAACAATCTACATACAGATAAGTCGGATTTGTAAAACAGTCGTGCACGCAGCACTCAGGTTCTGGAACAAAATACTATCTAAAGTCTAGAACTTTCCGCTGGAGTTTACAGTCGGTGAAGAAGATCTAGTAACAAGCCATATACGAGAAACAACTATCACCAAACATTTTACCTTAAAAAAAATGCATTTGACACAAAGCAACACTGCATACGTTCATTAGCTACTCCATACATCACCAACAATTTACAAGAGAATTCCTTTTTTTTTTATAACCCCCCCCCCCCCCACCCCCTTTTCCATATTTGTGTTTTCCTGCGCCGCAGGATCGCACCCTGGAGGATTAATATCTCATGGGGGAGAACCTGTTCAACAGTACAACACGGTTATATTGTTGTACCAAGTATCCTGCAGTCCACTGTGGGTTAGTGAACATGGGGATGTTTGAAAACAATTTGCAAGTTAGTGGGTCAAGATAAGAAGTGACGACCCGCGAATGCTGACTGAGCTGGGTAAATCATTTGTTTGTGACTGAGTTTGATACATCATGAGCCGTGTAACTGATACAGTTGTGTTACATTGAAAGCAAGCAATAAGTGTAAAATTTGCGTACTTACCGCAGCCCGGGCTGTGTCGGATAATCCTAGAAGCAACAGCGCACATAGAAACTTGAAGTCTCCATCACGTATTTGTCTATGCCTCATCATGGGGTGCGAGTCCCTTTACCCTCCTATCCCTCTAGTATTTTCCTGAAATTCAGTAGAATGAATACTGAACTAAATACTAAACTAGTCCTATAAAATCATTTCTGTCCTCTGTGCTTTTGTTATCCAACTCTAGAGGCAGAGAATTTTAACTTTTTATTCCACGAACAGTAAGATTTGCCTTATTCCTCCATCCTGTCGACCAATGAAGGAACCTCCTTGCCATCAAAGAATGCTGACTGGGTATGCAACTTCTGTAAGGGACTACTTTCTACTGAACGATAAAGAACTTTGCATATAAATAAATCCAATGATAACATAATTGAATTTAAATTTTATGTAAACAAGATGACACAGTATAACACGGAAATATGACAGATTTTTAAAGTACAAAATAAATTTATTAAAAAACACACGAGGGTACTATTTTTCCACGCGCTATCAGCATTCTTATCCGAGTGAAGTCTGCAACCCTTACCGTCACTAGGGCTACTGGCAGGCGTTCAGCTAAATTTATGACCAGTGAAAAGGCGTTATACTGTTCATGAATATTAATTTTCACTTATTTATTCTCCACGAAGTTGAAATAATTAAAGAAAGGAAAAGAAACAAGTAGATACTTAACACATTTACACGCCAGAGTTAGCTCACATAGTACAAGACACTTTTCTATGAAGTTCTGAGCATCTTTAGTTAAGGTAATGAGTCACCCTAGGGAAGATGGGTGGGGCGAAGATTTTAAGTGCGATAGCTCACTGAGTAAAAAGATTTTCAATGTTTCTTTCTTTTCAGTACTGAAAGTAGATCATGACTTAAGTATTAGTTGTCATTCCCTGAGTTAAACAGGAATAGACAGTTGAAATCACGAGTACTGATTTCCTGTGAATAAAGATAAACCTCATTCATAACATTAAAATAACGGTGCTCTTTATGGCTACCTTTGATGCGCGGGAGTCGAGCACGTACTTAGGCTCCGCCCACTCGAATCTGCATCTACAGGAGCTGAATTCATCCGCCGCTAAATGCCAACACCATATCGCCCGAATTCTGGAAAAGGGTGTCTTGGGAAGATCTGTGTGTTTTGTGTTTAGCTGGATTGTTTGAAAAGGAAAAATAGAATTAAATGTTGGGCAAGAAATAAGAACTTGTTGTAACTTTAGGGGCTGAATTTATTTCAGCCAGGCAACCAGCCCGTAGAATTTAGGGCCGTGGCAGGCTGTAGTTGCAGGAATCCAGGATCGTATGAGGCTGTGTTGTGAAGGCACCAGAAAGTCTGGTGCCTCAATTTGTTGTAATCTTCGGTCATCGAATCAGACACTAAACAGCAGAAGTTACAGCAGAAGGCGAGCATGCGCCATGTTCCCGTGGTAAGTAAACACTTTTTATAAGTTTCATTTAAAAGAGGAAATGATAATCAGCCAGTAGACTTATTTGTACAAGTCTGCAGTCTATATGACCACTCTTATGAATAGAAAACAATGCAACTGTCTGCCCTAATTTTTGTCGACGCAGCAAATTTATAACAATACAATTATCTTATAAATAACCCCCCTCCACCCCCCCCCCCCCCAACTCCTCTTTTACACTGTATGAATATTCTGTATTTCACAAAAGTGTATATTTATCTTAACGGTAAGATATTTTTTTTATGTTCTATCTCAGCCCTGTATAATTTCCTTTATTTAACTAATTCATTTGTCATTGTTTTCCTTCTCAGGCAACTGTATGTCGCATTTATAGTTCTGGCGTGTTCTTTGATTAATGGCTCATCTGCGGTGAGTACACTGGATGAAGTCCATCATTCTTGTGTTGTCTGTGAAAGTTGTATATTGCCACTTATGTCTGTTATTTAAAAAAAAAAAAAAAGTAAATAATAACTTCTTTAGCGTGTTACTGAGCTGTAATTTGGCTATTTAAATAGTTTGTCCACCACTCAAATCTCCAAGTAGATCGACATTAAAACAGTGGGCTTACAAAAGAAGTAAAGAGCCAGACTTTTTCTTGCTGGCACGAGTTTATGAAATCAAGAGAAAATGGCGGAGATGGCTTCCAGTGTTGGGTGGGCATGCGATAGGTGGCGCTGCATATTTTACTCTAGGAAATGGATATATTTTCTGCATTGCACATTCCGATATAGAACAGACTGCTTAGAATGAAACTCTCAAAGTATATTGCCACTATTAGTTTCTACTACTACAATGATATGTAAAATTCAAAGCGGTAATTACAATTTAATTAACTTTTTTTTTCGGGGAAATTTTGCTTTTAAATATGCAGACTTGTTTCTTGCTTCCGTATTTTTAGAATCATTATTTTTTTAGTCAGTTATTACGACTGCCTGAGAATCCGAACATCATTATAACGACCAGCAGCTAAACGTTTCTATAGCAACCATGTGTTAACAACTTCACAGAGTATCAGAACACTCAAAAGTACAATTGAAGCATTAGAAATCATATGCTCATGAAAAACTATTGTGTCAAAAGAACGGAGTTCGAAAAAAAAAAAAAAACACATAAAAATACTAACTTGTAAAAGATACAGAATACAGAAAGTAGATTAGTTAAGTAACATTGAGGGGGAAAGGGGGTGGGGGGGGGGGGGGGCGATCAGCTGCCTCTGTTTGAATAACATTAAGGTAATTTTAACTTTTTCAAAACCAGGCACTTTTACTTTAGTATAGATCATTTTAAACTAATAACAGTTACACCTACAATTTGTTAAGCAAAATAGGTTAAAATAAAATTGGAATTGGGTGGTAAAACAACTCAATAAAACAGCTTGAGTTAAAAAGCGTAAAACGCAAGTTTTACAAACGCAAGTTGCTTGGTACCGAATACGTTAAAGCAACACAGGAATATATGAAAAGATGGATTGCTAATATCGCGGCTGTTCTACGGGTGTGAAGTCTTGCCAGAGTGAGCCCCGTCTGTGGTACAAGATAGGAAACGTGAAAGCTCCCACAGTCTGAGCGACGTGTGTGGTACAAGATAGGAAACGTGAAAGCTCTCACAGTCTGAGCGACGTGTGTGGTACAAGATAGGAAACGTGAAAGCTCCCACAGTCTGAGCGACGTATGTGGTACAAGATAGGAAACGTGAAAGCCCCCACAGTCTGAGCGACGTGTGTGGTACAAGATAGGAAACGTGAAAGCCCCCACAGTCTGAGCGACGTGTGTGGTACAGGATAGGAAACGTGAAAGCTGCCACAGTCTGAGCGACATGCCTGGTAAAATGGGAAAGCCCACATTGTTCCAGTTCATATTAACTAGGGCTTGTTTATTTCCGGAAACCCTCACGTGTGACAATAAGCAACAACAACAATTTGTTTTGGAAACCAGAAATGCTTATTCACTGACAGCCTCCTTCAAGTTCTGGTTGTTCGTCCACTTCTGGACTTGAGTTTTGCCCCAGATCATGAGCTCTACGTGCACATCCGTTTTTTTAGATATGGCTTAATTTTAAGTAGACTGTTGGTTTCTAGTCTTTTATTCAGATGCACTCTGACTTCAAGAAAAAAAAAAAAAAAACAACATCCAGCATTATTCGATTTAAAAAAAATAAATGTTAGAGCATCAGTATGTTTAAACCCCCCCCCCCCCCCCCCCCCGCCCAAAATGATTTTCTCTAATTGGGGTTGCAGAACCCCCACAGAAAGTAAGGGAATCACGATGTGGGGGTAATAGGTACAACACAATTATTAAAATATTAGAATATTGAATTGAGAATCGACATCACAGCACTCGGGACACTCCCATAAGTGCTCATTCCCCATCTTCAGCAGCAAGCGAAGAGTCCCAGTTCCGATGGTACCAGTAACAGTCTGATTGTATATCCGTCTTATCCTTCTCCTGAGTGTTGAGCATCGGTCACAAATATTAATAACGTCCACTATAGTTTATGAAAAACCAGCTGACTCGGTGGCCGCTGGCCTGCCGGCTTGGGTTCGAATCAGGGTCGGGTGGATTCAAATACAAATTTACCTTGGCTACCATTTGGCTCCAATTTGAAATAGTACCAGGAAATGTTTTGGAGAGTAAAGGCAGTCGGCGTGATGTTGATCAGATGTCCCATCGACTATAAAATATCCTTCCATGCAAGCGTCGTATCGGACATACAGTATGATGCAAGACTCATAATATTATAGATTTATGGGAACTCGACCTGAGTCAACAGTCAGGCACTATATGCAGTGTCATTTTTTTATTTGAACTGTTAAATTGGATTTCATTGTCATTGCAAAGAATCAAGAAAATTGTATTAAAAAAGAGCTTGCTTTACGAAATTGTTAATTTCTTTTGTAAAAGGGCGATTTTCATTTGAAAAAAAAAAAAAAAAAGTTAATTTAATTTGCTAGGAGTAATTCGATTTGCAAAAGTGTGAATTTTATTTGCAAAAGGATTCAAGGCTCTCCTTTAAATAACGGTCGCTAGCTGGAAGGCGACGGTCGCTTAGTCGGAGTTCACTCCCTTGGCTGCAGTGCAATTACGGAGCGGACAAGTCACGAATCAAAACACAAAGTGACTTCGACATGGCTGCTAGAGCTAGACCACGCGCTACGACTGACATTAGCGACCGCGGTCTTGCGACGCAAGACTTAGTGACCGTAGATGTGAGACCTGCGGATCTGTGTGTCGTAATGAGCGATACGCTTGCGTGGTTTCCGTGATGTGTTACCCTAACCCTACCCCTAACCCAAACCCTACCCCTAACCCTAACCCAAACCCTAAGCCTAACCCTAGGATGACAGTAACTATCTCATTTTGTTTCGTTCCCTCTTTTCCACTCCGTAATTGCACTGCAGCCAGGGGACTGAACTTAGACTAAGCGGCCGTCGCCTTCAGCTAGCGACCGTTATTTAAAGGAGAGCCGGATTCATGTTGATTCCTACAATGATGAAACTGACTTGCCAATCTTGTAATAAAACAGTGGAACCTCAGTTCTAGGACGCCTCTGTTTCGGGACAGTTCGGTTTCCGAACAACTAACCGCCCGTCACATGTTC